CCCCCCCCCCCCCCCGCACTCGATCGACTTACTGAATCCATGGCTGGGGCGAAGGGCGGGCAATACGGCAGTAGAGCACGGAGATCATTTGCTGCATTTCAATTCGTTTGAAAGATCGTTCTTGTGGTGGAACGTGGCACCTACGACGCTGTGTGGTGCCATGTCGGGGTTGGGTTGTTTGTCCGCATGCCGACATCTCTAACGAGAGTTCAGGCATGAGGCGGCCAGGCGCATCCTACAACATCGTGAAACAGCGGGGTCATGAGGTGGGCATGGAAGCGGGAACGAAGACACGAAGGACTTCGCAAAACATGCCGTTTGCAGCGCCGCCGGTCTTGAGGAAATATTTGTTTGAAACATAGAAGAAGCAGATAAGCACACGCTATCACCTTAGAATTCTTGTAGAGCTGCAACAGGAGCATACATCAATCACTTAAACGAACAATAGCCATGTTCGCAAGGGCTTGTTCGACTGCACAATCCCTCGGTACACGGAAGCCTTGCATACGAATCGCACCCAGCAACTACACACAACACCGTGGGTATGACGGCGAGAACGTCACAACATAAAACCTCATCAACACCCTCGAACTTTTCCCAGCATACCTCTTTGACGCAAAAGTGGTTCTACTACAGAGGATGCTTATTTGAAGTTCTTCAAACGTGAAAGTGGGTTGTTAGAGTCTGCCCTGTGGTATCAAATAGGGGACAGGACAAAGGACGAAACTTCGAATTCTTTACCCCCGAAACTGAGCAAACTCAACCATGTCCCAACTGACGTACGAGTAGAAAACGCCGAAGAAAAACACAACAGTCAGAACGAAACTTCCACCACACGCCAGTGTCTATGTTCCTCCCCCAACGCAGAGGACACAACACCATATCCATTTCGCAACTGTTGTCTCCTACTTCAACTGCATGATTTCGTCTCGACTTCTTTGCTGTCTTGTTGGCTTGATGGAGGCATCCGTGCCGATCCGATGCCGCCCGCCATCAAGTGCACCACAATCTTTTCTCATTTTTTCCCTCTTGCTGACCGGTACAATGTCGTTACTTCTCTCACCGTTCGTCACTCCCCATCCGGCCACCCTCTTCGCCGCCGTAGCGGGCGGACTCTGATAGTATTTCCAATTTTCCCGTGGTGCCTTCCTGCTTCCTCGACCTCCGTCAGTTCGCCTGTTCCGCTATCGAAGCCCTTGGCCTTTTTTGCGCTTACGTCTCCTCCCCTGTGACGATGGAAGCCACTGTGAGCTCGTCGCCCACCACGCGATTCATCGACCACGCTTTCGCCCCCTGCCCAGTCGACGGGAAAGAATCAGTGACGACGGCTTTCAGTTCGCACTCTACGCCGGTGATGATGCGGGAGGAGACCAGCTTGGTCTCCTTCTCTTCTCCTCGCTCTTCCTCGTCCCTGCATATCCCGCCTGACGCCGCCGGTGTCGTCTTCAGCATGAGATTCAGCGAACGCAGAGGCCGTCTCCACCAAACGTCGGAACATTCCTCTTGCTCGAAAGCTCCAGGTGTCGGTATCTCCTCGTGGCACGAAACACCGATTTATTAAGGCTTCGAGCTCGGTTTCGGTCATTTCCTGTTCGTTGAGGTCGCCGAACGCGGCTTCCGCCGTCCACGCCGTGGTCATCTCCAGCTCGCGACGTCGGGCATCCCCCACCCACATGTCGATACGTAAGCACGAAGCCTGTTTGGCCACCAGAACACCCATCGCTTCGATCTGGAGAGATCTGGAGACCTCCGAGTGACAGAGGCTTGACGAACAATCACCATCGCCGTCCTGGTTGTCTGCTCGCTGATGGTTAACAACCTAGACCTGCTTGTCGGTGTGGAATCTTCTCCGCCACTGCGGTCGTCGTCGACATGATCCCTGGTGGCGCCCCCAGCAGTGGCAACGGTATTCACCCCCGATTGAGTTTGGCCCAGTGACGTCGATTGCTATTTCCCTTCCGTCTGCCGCTGCTCGTCGGGCTTGTCGTCGGTACCAGCCGCGTCTCCACCAGCCCCGCCTCCACCACGATCTCGCGCAGCACCGGCCGCCATTAACAACACCTCCTCTCTCCATTTTTAGTCTGCTTGGCGCTGCCGCTTATAAGGGATGAGTTCCGCGACGTGTGTACACAAGAACACAAGTAGAGAGGACCAGCGTGGGGGAGGGCACGGGCGCCGGCTAAAATGCTAGCGAAGGGGGTCTCTCCGACACAAACACCACTAGCTTGGCTGTCTCCCCGACGCTGCCGGCCACAACCCTTGTATGCAATATCCCGTCCCTCCCTCGAGCGCCTCACGGCGCTTCACGCTTGGTAATGTGAGGGTCTGGACCGGTGAGAACCCGGCGTGCTACGTCCGTCCCGGCTTTGCAGGGATGCGAGGTCAAATGGTCTATCGACGACGGCACGACCTCTCCTCCCTTCCAAAACCTCTTGACCCTAGTAGTACAGATGATGAAACGGCTACGGAGAGGGAGAGGGCGAACCCGAATTTCTCTCGCCAAGCAAATGAAGGCGACTTTTTCTGACAATCGCTCAATATATGTCAAAATCGTATCTCCAGAGCAAAACTCGTCGTTCTCGTCCCAAAAGACAAAACGAAGTGAAGACAACATGGACCCGCCCCCATTCCCTTGCCGTCATCACATGTTTGTGCCCCCGGTGGAGGTGAAACAATTCCTTAGCGTCGACGCGTCCACAACACAAACCAAGAAAACATGCAAGAGAATCAAAGAGCGGAAAGCTGTGGGAAAGGGCATGAGCACCAGAAGAAACTATACGGACACAATGAACCAACGAGGGAAGCCAAAAGCAACGCTAGACGGTTCAAAATAGACTTAAAGCTGGAAGCCAAGAGCAACGCCAGATGTTTCAATACAGAGCTAAACAATAAAGTAACCCATTTGTTTTCGTTTTGATTTCCCCCTAACCCGGCACGATCCATCTTATCCATTCGTATCGCGCGTTTACACGCAAGATCGAGTGTGCGTTAGGTCTTCGACACTGCACCATCCACTCTGTCCCGAACCCGATCGATCAGTCACCCTTACGACCCCTAAAACAATCGATTTTGCGCAAGATACACAAGGATGAAACTTGCTCGCCCAACAATCTCAACTCTTTTTCACCAAGTACAGAGCGAAGGCAGAAGTCATGCTTTCCTGCTAATTTCGAAGAATACCTAGCAGGTGAAGCCTAGAAGCGCATCGATATGGTCATGTCGTCGCTGGTGTCGACTTCGAAAGTGTCGGAGCAGTCGTACATCATTTCGTCGTCGAAGACGCCGACTCGGATCGAGTACATACCGGCAGGGGTGTCCGACGGGATTTCCACGTCGTAGTCACCCTCTGAGGGTCCAGCGAAAAACAATCGTGAAAAGCAAAAGGCGCCGGGGGGTCGATGGGTCCGTTATTTTCGCCCAAGAATGAACATGCACGGCGGGTGTCTCCATGAAATGGCACAGTGGCAAGAGTGGGGGACGGAGTCTCACACACATAGCGAGAGAGAGAGAGAGAGAGAGAGAGAGAGAGAGAGAGAGAGAGAGAGAGAGACAAAGGAGATAGAGAGAGACAAAGGAGATAGAAAGGAGAGCGAGACAGATAGACAGCCAGACCGCCAGATAGACATACAATGGTGGCAAGGGTTCTACAGGTTTCGTTTCCTGACCGTTCACATATTTTGGTGCACGACAGAATAACGATAACCTCTGACGCACAGGAGAAATCGTAACTATTGACAAACTGTTTGGACAAAAGTAAGTGAACACAATAGAAACAACTTCTAACACAACAAGGACATCATACAGATCGCAATGTACGTACGCGAGTCGGGGCAGCCGATGCTGGGCTGGTCGCAGAGGGTAGTCACGTAGGTTCCGCAGTCGCCAGTGCCGCCAACCAAATAAAGGTCGAGCGCGAAACGGTCCGTGGAGGAGCCGAACCCGTTCTCGTAGTCCCACTGTTAATGTTTGCGGCGACAAGACACGCCGGCAGGGCAGAGTGGAAGCGTAGTGCATTGGGCAAATCAAAGAGCGAGAGTAAGCAGCGTTATAGAGTTTTTTGTCTCTTAACGAAAAACATAGGCTATAATCCACAATACCAAGAGAAAAATAAAATGTGTTCCAGTTGTTCGTCACCCCGGTAAGGGGACAACGTCCGACAACAAGAACAACAACACAAGAAAGCTCACTTTCTTACTTTGGCATTACCTTTCCAACATAGTGTATCTCCTCTTGAGAATCTGTTAGGAGCGGGTGGTCTTTTCCGTGACGCCATGCAAGTTGTCTGAAAAGATGCACAACTTCCTCACCTCAACGGTGTACACTTCGCCGGCCATCGCAGTGTCGCCGTCCGAGGGAGAAGTGACGGTGAGACTGTATCCCATCTCGCCGGCCTCGGGTGCATCCTCAGAGGCGATCAGGGTGAAGTCGTCGGAGCAGCCCATGTCGGACTCGTCCTCGGCATTCTTCACCATAACCTAGAGATTTCGACGAGGGAGACCAGCACGTTATTCCATCACAGTTGGGGGCATCCTGCTTCGAGTAGGAAGGTGTACAATGCTTGCTTAATTTTACATCTGTGACACATGGGGTCCTTGTGGAGAAGGCATAGTCTACACAGTTCTGGGACAGTTATGCCATGGAGATCTTGAACAAACTTCTCGTGTCTTTGTAGCTAGATGGTGGATGCGCTCTGATCAAGCACGGGTTTCAGCTCGTGTTCATGGACTGCAATCGAAATCGTTCCAAATCTACTGGTCTTCGTCCGTCCCACCTACCGTAGCACACACAAACATTACGCACCTTGTAACCGCTTGAGGTACCACTCATAGGCTCGGGCATGATGATGTCGTAGTCACCTGCACTGTCGGGGCAACCATCCGCACCGTACGGGCAAAGGGCAGTAACCCAGTCACCGCACACGTCCTGCAAGCACAAAAGCAGTGCAGCCGTTGGTGGAGAGGGGATGTTGTTTTCATGAGGGGGTCGGGGACACGGAACGAGACGGATCCGAGCAGGGGTTGACACGGTCTTTCGGAAAAAACAAAGCTTGTTGCGAAATACTCATAAGAGAGAACGAGCGTATCTTGTTTCAACATTCTGGCGGGCAGACCATTTGAAGTGTGGACATATCCGTCATAGTATCAAATCGTGGACAATTGATGCGCGCAAGTGCCGAGATTTGCTTGGAACCTCGCTTTGGAGGTCCGGTTTTACAACCGCCGCACAATCCCGACATACGTTTCAGTGACACTTCTTGAAGAAAACACACTTTTCGAGAAAACGCGAAGATGTACTCTTACATCCATACAGAAGGAGTTGCAGTAGTAGAGATCGATCTCGAAGCGTCCGGTGGTTGTTCCGGTCCACTCCACGGTGTATGCCCTGGCATTAGACGCACCGAGAGACGGAGGGATAAAACGGTGGATGAAAACAAAATAACGCATCATCACGGACCATGCTGAATGCGCACATACGTTCGTCCATACCTTTCGTGGCACGAGGTAGGCAAGTAGGATATTCTTTGAGAAAAAAATGACGTCGGGAACGGAAAGAGGGGGCGTGAATCAGAAGGCCAATTCGATGATGCCTGCATCATGCCAATACCGTTCGGTGAATCCTGTTCATTCCGGGGCGATGTCCAGGAGAAAAAAAAGAGTGGGGCATGCATCATGGTACGTCTGTCTCTGGAACTGCTATTGTTATTCCCATAAGATTCCTGCAAAGTTCTTTCTGAATCTGAAAATTTCCAGCCGGCATTAGTAGGGGTAGCATGCCAAGTTTATTTACGGTGATTTCTTGCGCTCACGTGGAAGCGGAGGAAGTCGGAGGCCTGTTTGGATCAAGGTGTCAACTCTGATCTGGCCTTTCGTCACGCGGACACACGCCTTGCTTCCTTCTTCGCAACGTCAAGGAGCCAAACGAATAACAGCGAACTATATTGTATGCTCCGAATAACTATACGAAGGATTCATTGCGCGTGTGTGTTAGTGAGGAAGAAAACATCATTCGAACGTGGGGTGCGAAAGAGAGAATACCACAGGGTCGTGATTGATGGCGCTTTGCTATCGGACATAATCACGGATGGATCGGGTCGACTGAGAGGATTGGCCTTGTCTTCCAGAAAAGATGTAAGTAAATGAATGAATTAAACCAATACAAATATAATCATGGGTACCTGCAACGGTCTACGAGACAAAAACGTTCAAGACACAAGGCCTACAACACTATGTAACCAACAATCGGGGTCCGTGCAGGGTTGGGGGGTGTACCAATAGCCGTGCATGCCGTAGTCGTTGACCAATGGCATCGCATCCCTACGAAGCCGGCACGGAGTACACCGGGTTCTCACCGGACCAGGCTCTCACATCACCAAGCGCGAAGCAACGTGAGGTACGAGTCGCATGAAGGGTGCACTACATCCTACTAAGGGTGTTTCGCATCCTGTGTTTACTTCTTTGCGTATGGATTACACTCAATTTGTTTTCTTGTGCTTTTCACTTCCAGAGACAGTTGTATGCACAATGCAGCTGCCTCGGGGGTACTTGACCAATTTAACACAACGTGGTGTGATGATCCCCTTATCGCGGAGTGAGAGTTTTCGACCACGCGCAACGTAATCTACTCGACCACATGGTAACCGCACAAAAAAAAAGGGACCCTGTGGTTGCCGAGCTCACGAAGTGATCGGCTTGTTTCACAACGTCGTTGCGACGCGACGAAAACCCAACCCCGACGGCAAACACCGAGGAGGGGAGGGGGG